AGCACAGCCGCCGGCTCTTGCCACCGCCGGTTTCCGCCACTCACCACCGCCGGTCGCCGCCTATATGTCTCGCCGTAACATCCACCACCATCAAAGACAAGCGGTTGAACCTCCGCCGTCGATGCCGGCGCGGCCGTCAAACATTGCTGACACGCCGGCAAGGTCCGTTGAAGCGCCGCCGCGAAGCTCCGTCGTACTCCGGCAACCGGACGCCATCATCTCCATCATTCTTCCTGGAACCTCCATTAATGGTGGTTTTTTTTTTTAAAAAAAAGCAATATTCTCTTTCCACCTCCTTCCACGGCCGGAAGCAGCCATTGCAAGACTTCTTGCACCTTGCGTCAGGGTGTACCCGTCGGCGTTTATTGCGTCAACAATTTATGCTCGAATTTTGAGCACATCTGTAACGACCCACTTTTATTTGCCGAAAATCAGAATAAATTTTTCGAATTTATTTTCAAAATCTCTTGAGGCGCTACTCATTTTCAAATCGTACATCAATACTTAACAAAATTTGAATAATCAATAATAGTTTCAAATCTCAATAATCAATCATGAATCATCAATCATCAATCCTCAATCCAATACCCAAAACGGATTTCTCAAATTTCCAAATCCAAGGAGTACACTCCTTAACAATAATCCAATGTTCAATAATAACAGTAATCAATTTAACAAGCAGAAGCAATAATAAATTATAAGACCACCACTCGCATCCCTTCGTCGTGCCCGCAATTCTAACCTGCATCCATGAAGAGCAGGTGGGGATGAGCACAATTGGAATCCGTGGTGCTCACCACTATGCAATAAATGTTATTCACAATATTGAAACAGTAATCATAACTCAATAAGTATGGTCTCAGCATGTATCCGAAACAATTATCTATCCCAATCTCCCATCAATAATCAATAATCAATAATCAAACTCATGTGCACACCTACGCATAGACTACTGATGATACTCGATTCGAACGCCAAGACATACGAATTGGTCTTACAATTATGCCCAGCCAGTAGGAGTAAACCACCCCGCCGGGCAAAACCTACGAATTGGTCTTACAATCGGGGATCACCGGCCAGAACCTACGCCCTGGTCTTACGGCTCTCAAGGGAGACTACCCAACGGGTACGTTCTATAGCTACAGGGATAACCGTTCGGTGGCCGATACAGCTCACACCGAAGGCTACATGATTCACATGCATACTTTGATCATACCACAATTAAAACAGTAATAACATTTAAGGCATAGAAATTTTACAATTACAACCCACCTGGTATCGGTTGATAAAGCAGTTAGTCAGAAGGTCATAGGTGGTCGAGACACTGCTCTTCAGACACCTACATAAGTCAAGACAGTCCCATAAGCAACTATATCGACTCTTGCACAGATAACGAGAATTATGCTTAGTCGAATAACATCGACTAAGGAACTCGTGGAAGTTGTGGAGTTGGAATATTAGGACGACTCCTAGAGTCGACCAATTAATTACCAAATCAATTAATAGATCACATAAAAAAGCAGACAATAAATGTTCGACACAAAACGGGTCAAAACGGTTAAAAAGGCTAGTTCGAATTTTATAAGAATAGGGCTAAGGGGAGTTGGACTTGTTTATT